CTTGGCCGGACTTATATATACAAGACTACACTATATCTAGATGGATCCAGACAATTCACGAAGGTTCGAGAAGGACGTGGCGTGATACTAATCACGCGACCTCGCTGACGCAACAATATGTATGAGACGTGATGTATGGAAGAAAAATAATATAGTTAGATTAATGATTGATATACCAGGAAGATGAATTACAGGTTATCCTAAAATAACAAAGACCCATGGTAAGCCTAAGCAAATGGTATAGGAGAAAAGATAAAATTAAGACTAATTGCTAACCTGAAACTGACTAGGAGTATTGACCAATCTAACGAAACTTATGTTATGGAACCCAAATAACTACAGATAATAATATTAACAATAAAATTATTCAAAAATCATAACAGTATAACATCTTTCCAAAGTTAGCAGACTGTATCTCAAAATGTGTGTTCCCCCATTCTCAAAGTGAGGCCCAACAAAGGTAATTTCATTGGACGATCAATCTCCTGATGAAGTAAAGCTGATAAATTCCCCATGGAGTACCACCACTTGAAGCTTGTGTAAATGTGCTGACAGAACACATAACATCTGAAGTGGTAACGTAAAATTCATAATCCAAAATGAATAACCAAACACAACAGTGTTGGCAGAAAGAAATAAAAGTTGTTGTAATGAAGTAATAAGTTCCGTAACTGGGTAGAAATATGAAATAATTCCACATCAGAATATCTCAACAAATATCATTATTGTATAATAGATAGTAAACATGTTGAGAGAAATTGATACAAAGATATGGAAAAATAATAAAACACTTGAAGAGAGCACAAACTAAACATTACAACAGGAGTACTGGCAAACGAGATGTGATAGTTCGGTGGAATTGAATAGAGGGAATCACATGCATCAAGAGAGCGTGTCGAACTCTTATATGTGGAGGGTTGTTGCATGATGATTTGCACGTGAGATACGTTTGAATCAGTTGATTCAAAGATGGGTTGTAGCTTCAAGGCTTGTGGCATGCAAAAAAAGGTTTGTATATAGAGGGCAGCACTGAACGAGAATAGCTATTTACGTGAGTGGAAGTAATGTACCGAATCAGAATTAGCCTTACATGTATAAATATGTTCTTAATACTGACCTTTCGAACCTTGCTATTCAATTGTGTTTTTGGTTCACAAACACTATTACTATTATCACTTTTTACACTAGCTCTTTCTTTCACATCATTTTCTTCTGCTGTTTTATCTTGTGCCATAAAAAGCTCATAAGACCTACAAGAAAAATCTGATGGACTTTTGACAATAGCTTCTTCTAATTTTTCTTCATTTCCTTCTTCCTCCTCCAACTGCAGTATGAAGATTTAATATTTCAGAATACACTAAGCAATTTCATACTTAAAATTAAAATATACTTATACAATTTATTAAATTATATACTTATTAAAGTGATCCTAAAATGTAGATACAGTAAGTTATTTTGCCGTTATTAAAACAGTCAATTTTTTCTCTTTTGTGAATGCTTTTCAATATCTTTTAGTGGTCAAATGTCAATCTTGATTTTATGATATTTTTTTGTTTAAAACAAAATTTGTCTTTGTTTAGAAAATTACTTTAAAAATGCAATTTTTAATTGCATAAAATTGGCAAATCAAGAAATAAGCTTGTAATACTAACATCCATTATAAATGAATGATGTTTAATCATATATTATCAACATATATATTGTACACAAAAATTTATAATTCTGTTAATTTGAGTTGTTAGAGTGCCTTACTTGCAGTTGCTAAGGGTCTAACCCTTTAGTTCAATTCAAAGAGCTCTTACTTGCTATCCTACAAGTTTTGTGTGTGACTTCAGTCCAAGGAAAAAGACTGAGTACTAGAAATGTAACTAGCAAAACAATGAAAGACAATACAAACTCCAACACTAATTTTAAAGAACAAATTTGTTGGGTTAAGTTAATATTATAGTAGCTCATCATGGGATATATTCAATTAGAATCAACAATTTAACCATAAATATTAATCTTACTAATTTTGCTGCCTCTTCTGCAGCTACTGCAGCTTCTTCTGCAGCTGCTTCTTTTAATTCTGCTTTCTGTAGATCATCATAGGACATGGCTACAATGGCTAGGATAAGGTTAACCAAATAAAATGACCCCAAGAAGATTATTAGAACAAAGAAAAGCATATGCCAAGGGCCTGCAGATTTTAGCACCTGAAAAAAACAAGTATTTAAACATTTCAGAACATATAATTAGTTACCTACATTTCACTAGTATTTTATTCAGGAACTTTAACTTTTACATGAAATATAGCTAAAAATAATATATGGTATATATTTCTTACACTCAATCATATGTACATTAAAACACAGTCATTTAATTCAAATATGTTTCCTGAAGTAAATAATTATTTTTCATTTTTTCAAGTCCACTGAATTAATTGTTATAAATCATTTTCAAAGAATTGTGCTAATTTTCTCAAAATAATTTGAGTGAATTGAGAGAAGAAAAAATAATTCCATACCATCTGATATAAAGACTCCCAGTAATCTTGTGTCATGAGTCTGAAAGCTGACAAAAGAGCCCATCCAAAGTTGTCAAAATTTGTGTAACCATAATTTGGATTTTTTCCTATACCTTGAAGACAAATGTATCCTTCTGGGCACATTCTAAAAGAAAATGTTTGAAGAAATATATTTTTTAACGTACTTAATAATTATTATTTGATTCAATTTGCCTAGCCTAAAACTACTTAATTATGCATTTAAAAAAAATTCTCAATTTATTTAACTTTGCAATCAATTTAAATAGGCACAAGTGAATCCAAGAATTTCTTAAAATATAAACAAGATTTAGCTAAGGTTTCTCTTCTATCTTCTTAATAAATCAATCATGGAAGTAAAATGTCGCAAAAAAGTGGACTGTCAGAGGAACACAGGTGAAAAGGATTTTGGTTCATTTTTTGATTTGATATGGTATTTATAGCTTTAAAATATCATTATTGTTCATTTTTGCTAATATTCAGGTTATTTTCATTAATTTGAAAGCATTTTTCATCACCAGTGCAAATTTAAGCAACAAATCTGTTTAGTACTGTTACGACATCGAGGTCACGTGACTAGTATCCCGCCACGTCATTCTCGAACTTTCACGTCTTTTCCTTAAATCTCGTGATCTTTCTAGATATAGTGTAGTCTCCTATATATAAGACCAGCCACGAAGCGACGGGGAGGTAATGAGTAATTGAACTGCAGTCAGTGAATGTGTAATTGAACTAAGTATTGTTGGAGTCGAGCAGTACGTTGAGAATTATATCGCGACTGTTCAAATTAAGTGTATCGCAAAGTTATATTCAGAAAGAATAAACCAGTTTTATTTAAGAAAGGACTTGTGTCGCTAAAGTTTCGTCGGAACGAAATTACGGAAAATCAATTAACAAACGGAGACGTAACAGTATGTTCTTCACCATCATAAGCTGCATTGCATGTTAAAAAGTAATTTTGCTTATATAGTGCATTCAACATTCTTGGAACTCAGGATTTTTTAGTACAGTAATGTTTGTAACACATTTTATTGCTAATGATTGATGTGGCTAATATGTAAATTAGCATATACATTAGATAGGGTGCAACATCTATATATACATGTATATATAAAGCACAAAAACCTGTGTGTTTGTCTGTTATCTAATTACACCTAGGCCACTAGGCTAATCTCAACCAAACTTGGTAGGATGATAGTTTGGAACAAGTGGCACGTTAATGGGGTCCCCCCTCTACCTCCATTACTGCTGTTATTGAGCATTTATTACTTTTGATGCAAGTTAACGTTAACTGCATTTATAGATGGTGCCGTTTCCTCACATAAAAAAAACTTGCATTTTCTATAACACAACATACATATAGTATGGGGTGAGGGCACACAAATGTCTTATATATCTCTGAGGGTGTGCTACCACTCTTTATGGAGGAATGCAATGAAAAACAAATTGTCACCACCATTGCAATAATACATAGACTCAAATAAAATTTCTACTCTACCATCCAACATAAAGCTGATATGAAGAGCATTTTCTTGAGTTATACCAACTTCCTATTTTGACCCGTGACTTTACAACTTCAGCCTGCAAGACACTTCTGCAGCTAATGACCATCAATTAATAATGTGAAATGGTGTGGAAGTACATTAAGAGCTGGGTGTTGAAAGTTGGAAACAGAAAGCACTCCTACCACCACTACTTTTTCTGCTACCTCTTCCTACAAAATCACCATGATCAGTGTATACCATGTTTTAAGTATATACATAGTGAGTTCTTAAAGCTTATCCAAAACATTTGGTGAGGTAATACTATAATAATATTACGTCTCCGTGTGTTCGTTAATTTTCCGTAAATTCGTTCAGGCGAAATTTTAGTGACACAAGTCCTTTCTTAAATAAAACTGGTTTATTCTTTCTGAATATAACTTTGTGATACACTTAATTTCAACAGTCGCGCTATAACAAATGCTATAATTCAAATGAACATCTCACGCGCTCAACAATACTCTCTCTCCGCAGTTCAATTACCCACACATTGTTTCCGTCAATTTGTGACCATTTTATATATACAAGACTACCCCAATCTAGTAGTCTCCCGACAATTCACGAAGG